ATTGCACGCATTTGAGAAGTAAATCGGGGATGGAGGAGATATTCTCTCTCTCTCTCTCTCTCTCTCTTGCATGCACGTGACTTTCAATGGAAGAAAATAAACATTTAAAAAATTGAAAAGGGGCTTGTGCAACATTTTTCAACACCTCACAAAGAGATTGTGTTTTCTAATATGAGTAACAGAAGCATTTAAAGCTTTTGGGCTATCGGTGGGTAAGTAGGAAGACTTTTGTTCATTGCATCAGAACATGTTTTCATTAACTTTTTTATTGACCTATCTCTTTGCGGCACTCTGGTTTTAAGCTTCATTTTGTTTTTTTTTGTTTCGTTTTGTTTTTTTAAGAAAACTTTTATTTAATAAACATAAATTTTGAAAGTACAACTTTTGGATTATAGCAGTTTTCCCGCCATAACCATGCTCCCACCCACAAACCATCCCATCTCCTACTCCCTCTCCCATCTTATTCTTCATTAAGATTCATTTTTAATTATCTTTATATACAGAAGATCAACTTAGTATATGCTAAGTAAAGGTTTCAACAGATTGCACCCACACAGACTTTGAAGAGACAGGTCCCTAAGTGGACAGAGCCTTGTTCACGAGGCTGCCCCAATGACCTTTTTTCAGCAGATGCATGCCTTCTTACCACAGACACACTGGAGAAGCTTTTGAGCTCCCCACCTGCAGAAAGCAAACACTGCTTCGTTCGTTGCTTCCTGCATTTTATTAAGTCTAAGTTCTTTCCCATTTTAGAATGACTTTTGTCAGCAAGCCTGGCAGGAAGCAGTAAACAGAAGTGCTGTAAAACTTTACTGCATTCTCTGTGGCAGTAACAGAATGTTGTCTCCTTCAATGTCACCGTGGTCTCCACCTCCAAGAGCTGCCATCTCTCCTGGCGACAGCTGGCTTTGTCCTTGTAAAGCGAGCAATTCCTTGACTAATAAGGATTAATTCCCTCCTGTAACTGTAATGAGGTACAGGGGTGTGTCCTCCGAGACTCAGTGACAGAAATCTTCCCTAACATAACTTGATCCTTTCCCCCTAGAGCTAAAGAGAGCTCACTTTCTATGAGTTCCTTGCTCCTTGTAATTCAAGCTAGCACAGTAATTTATTTGCAGAAAATGCTAGTGTTTGTTTATATTACTGGATTCCCAAAGTTCCTGGCCTAAAAGCTATGGCAAATGCATTGCATAGTAAAGGTTAGATATCAAGACAATGGCCATGAAAATGTATTTAAGCTATGGGAAAATGCCTGTTTAATTTGAAAGCTAAAAATAGTTCATCAGAAATACGTCTGTTAAAATGTCTTCTAGTTCCAATTTTTACCCTGTAGTAATTTTGTTCTTTTTTGCAATGGTATAATCTGTGATGACAAGAGTTTATTGCATTTAATCAGTCTCTTTTTTTAAAACAGAAGCCACTATTCACTTCATTGCTGTTGAATTAATATTTAACACAGCTTTTACATACCTACTACATTTTTGTAGCATTATGCTCTTTACAAATTCTGACCACAATAGCAAAATATTTCTCAACTCTTTCTTAGGCAACGTCTCCTTTACTATGCAGTGATACACTTTCACAGAAGGAGAACCAAATTTAGAAAGGACTGAATTCTAAGCATTCTAAACTAAGGACTGTCATTCATTAAATAAGTGACTTTAATAAAGTCATTTCATCACTATGTTCCTAAATTTGTACATACGAAATGCATGAAGTTTGTATACTTTACCGAAAAGGTTTCTGGGGGCTGTCGCTCTGGCAGACCAGGTAAAGCCATCACCTGTGGTGCCAACATCCCATTTGGGCACCAGTTCAGGTCCCGGCTGCTCTACTTCTGATCCAGCTCTCTGCTTTGACCTGGGAGGGCAGTGGAGGATGGCCCAAGTTCTTGGATCCTTGCACTGACATGGGGGACCTGGAAGAAGCTCCAGGCTCCTGGCTTTGGATCAGCCCAGCTCCAGCCATTGCAGCAATTTGTGGAGTGAGCCAGTGGATAGAAGACATCTCTCTTTCTCTCTGCATCTGTAACTCTGCCTTTCAAGTAAATAAATAGATCTTTTAAAAAAGAAGAAAGAAAAGGTTTCTAGGTAAATAAGTATATAAATATTTTAACATTAAAAAAAAAGTTATATCACATTTGGGCCTTCATGTCCCCATTTTCCATGTTGGGATTTAATAATACTGTTTCCAGACTCAGTAAGGAAAATGCACCTGAAAGCATGTTGTATTATAAAGTTGCTGAAACATTTGTTGGATAACATAATTACTGATGTGCCTAAAATTCAAAATTGTCCATCATAGACTGTGTCTTTATACAATCCTCACTGAATGACCAACTGTAAGCATTTTATTGGGAGCTGAGCTAAAATAGCCCTTGTGAGTTTGATATAGGAATTATCTTGGACAAACCACAAGAATGAATGGTTAGTTTGTCTTTCTACCACCTCACTTATTGAAAGTTTTGCTTCTGTAATTTTGATAGAACTAATAATTCAAGTGGGAAACCTCATGGATATCTGCAGGGCAGAGGTCCTGTGTTAGTAACTTAAGTGTGATCCACGCATTTTGGAATTGAGGCTTGGCAGGTAATGAAATTGACAACCTGTTGTGAAAATTTCAAAACTCATTGAATCTTTCTCAGATTAAATGTGAGGCTGACAGGCATAGAAAGGCAAATACTCATCTGGAGAAGCTGAAAACTTTGATGTCATAGATAAAACATAGTAGAATAGTGGTTATTCAAAGCACAGAATGGTAAAAAATGGGGAGATGGAGGTTAGACAGGTACTAATACATAGTTACATAGGAGGAATAAGTTCTAGTGCTGTACAGCACAGTAGGGTGACTGCAGTCACAACTTATATATTTTATGAAGAAATAGAAGAAAGGAGTTTGAAGGTTCTCAACACAAAGAAACAATAAATATTTAAGGAATGAGAATGGCTAATTACCCAGATTTGATCATTACACATTATAGACATGTATCAAATTATCACATTGTGCCCCATAAACATGTACAATTGTTACACATCAACTAAAATGTTTCTTCATGAAAGTAATAGAGAAATCAATATGAGGCTGACAAACATCTTTTTGTCTCTGGAAGTTTTAGATCTGCTGAAAAGCCTGCACAAATATTTGGCCCAGTCTCTCAAGTTCCATGCCAGTATTCAGCAGAAATAGTTTTGGCTTGGCAATTTCAGGGCAGGTGCTAACAGTTGGTTTCCTGAACCATGGAAATACCTCCTTCTGGTCTCCTTTAAATGCCTGATTTCTGAACAGTGCTACCTCCCAGTGGACCTGCCATGGAGAATTAGTTTCAAATTGGCTTCACAGGAAGTGGACTGAATTAAATTCCTGGATAAATTAGGTATGTGTACTTAAATATTGAAGAAAGTCTACCAAAACAGAAATATTGGCTTTTATAAAACTGAAATTGAATTCCTCAACATCCTCAATCTACTCCTTTGTAAAAATGTGTCTATTTATTTGAAAGTCAGAGTTACAGAAAGGGGGTTCACTCCCCAGATGTCTGCAATGGCCAGGACTGGACCATGTCGAAGCCAGGAGCCAGAAACTTCATCCAGGTAGGTGGAAGGGGCCCAAATACTTGGGCCGTCTTCCACTGCTTGTCCCAGGCCATTATCATGGAGCTGGATTAGAAGTGGAGCAGCTGGGACATGAACTGGTACCCATATGGGATGCTGGCATCACAGGTAGCAACTTTACCCACTGTGCCACAACGCCAGCCCCAACTCACTTCTTTTCTTCCTCAATGATGATATTTGGCCAATAGGTTTAGCTCCCTCTGTTTGGAATTTAGTGGTTCTTCATAGCAAAATCAAGTCATAAGGAAGTTCTATAGAAAATGCAAAATGTTGAGGGCGGGCATTGTGGTAGTGAGTTAAGCCAATGCTTGCAACTCTGGAATCCCATATAGGAGTGCTTGTTCAAGTTCCAGCTACTCTATGCTACCCAGCTTCCAGCTAATGTGCCTGCGAAGGCAGCAGAAGATGGTCCAGGTGGGCTCCTGCCATCCATGTAGAGACCACGCTGGGGTTCTGGAATCCAAGCTGCAGCCTCACCCAGGCCTGGCTGTTGGAGCCATTTGAGGAAAGAACCAGAAGATGGAATCATTCTCTCCCTCTTCCTCGCCCCCTCCCCTTCCTTTTCCCTCTCTTCCTCTCCTCCTCAAATAAATACGTAAGTCTTAAAAAGAAAATACAATGTCATTGCAATGGAGGCAAAACATTACAACATTGAATTTGTATTATGAATTTGACCAAAGATTAGATGTGTGCGTGTGCCCTGATTTCTGATACACAAGTTTTCCTCACTTTGAGGAATACAGATTTAGGAAAAGCTATAGTTAAGTCAAATTTAGTCTTCTGGTGGCCTTCTATGTTCAAAAATTTGATGTGGTTGCTAGAAAAATAAATCCTCCACAGCATGCCCGTGTGATTTCTTGTTTACTGCCTTCACCATCACTAAAGATCACTTTATCTCTGGATGTGTATAAAGCATAGAGCTCAACTGGAAAATGACAGAAAGGAGAAGTACTGTGTGCTTGGTGTCCACACTAGACAGGTAGTGGCGCTGTGTGGGCTGGAACACTTTACATACAGTAACTGCCACTCCACACGGTTTCAAAGGGGCAAGTGACACAACTGTCCACTCAGAGGAAGCAAAAAGTACCACCAGTGTTTAAGAGAGGATGGATCCATGCCTCCAGTTCCATGCATAAACTCTAGAATCACTCATTAAGTATCCCAGCCTACATATATCTCTGCAGGTTCCATTGAAAGGAGCATGGCTTTATTGTGTCAGCCCTGATGCTTACTCTACCCATTCACCACTTGTTCTTGGTTGGATTTGGAGTTGGAGCAGCCTTTCAGGCCTTCTCATGAAGATGTCTCACCTCCTTACTTCCTGCCCTGAAATCTGTTCGATCCCATGCACCTCTAACGACAGCCTTTTGCTTTGCTTCATCCACACAGGTAACGACACTGACTCAGGAAGTCTCCCAGCTAGGTAAAGATATGAAGAGTGTGATGCAGCTTCTGGAAAATGTTCTGTCACCTCAGCAACCCTCCCAACTTTGCTCTCTACATACCACCGCTGTGTGTCCCTCCAGGGAGAGCTTGCAGACAAGAATGAGTTGGAGCACACACCAGCCTTGCCTGCATTTGCAAACGGCTGGGGCTGCTTATACCCAAGCACAACTGTGTGGCAGTAATGTCACCTCAGACATTTGGGGTGTGGATCCTTCTTCTTTGGGGAGCAGCCCCCAAAGAACTGGAGCTCGTGAGCAACACCCTGCAGACAGTGAACTTTGTCATTCTCCAAATATTGATTATTCACCTTCCCACTACCAAGTTGTCCAAGAAGGTCATTTGCAATTTTTAAGGTGCATCTCTCCACATTCAGATACTACACTGACACCTCTGCAGTCCATTTCGGCGACCCTCTCATCCTCTGTCTGTTCCTCCTCAGAGACATCTTTGCACCTGGTTCTCCCAAGCAGATCAGAGGAAGGTAGCTTCATTCAGGGAGCTGTGAGTTCACTCAGTCTGGAAAACTTGCCAGGATCTTGGGACCGAGAAAGAATGGCATCAGTCTCTACCAAACCCTTGGAGAACTTTCCCCTGGAAGTCGTTACAAGCACAGCAGAAACGAAAGATAATAAAGCCATAAATGTATGATAGCAGCACACATGATGACACAGCTGCCAATTTCAAACGCACCACTGCATGACAGCTTTAGTTTGCCTTTTTTTTCTTGCCTCTGATAGGCATTGAAGACTGAGTCAAGTTGGGAACTCTGCAGAAGAGTGCATAAGGGGCCAGGGAAAGGCACAACCACCCCCATACTGTAGCAAACAATTTGTAGATCCTAGAAGCATAATAGAAGCATATTTATGTACACATATTAACTTACTGGTCTGTTTGACAGACTCTGGTAAAGTTCCAAAGACCTTGAGGGTCTGAGCAGCTAGAAGTCCCGGACAATTTGTGCATTCGTTTTGTCCTAGGTGGCTTTTGTGAATTGCAACAAAGGTTTTTCTTGAGTGCCGGCTTGTCATTCTTGAACAATATCCACAGCACTGTTGGCCTCAGGAGTGCGCAGCGCCTGCAGATCTGTTTTTCTTTTGAAGAAGGCAAAGGGACAATTATCACGGCATGTCATCTCTCAGACAATCAGTCCAATAGCGCTGGTGACCAGTGGTTAGCTATTCGCACGTTATTTGCCATGTAAATGAAAATGTCTTTATTTATCAAAAAAAGAGAGGCTATTTTTATATCCTTGGTATGAAATATGTATTTAAAATATTTAAAATATTTATAAAGAAATGAATGTTTTCTTTTCATTTTGGAAAAAAAGCTTGCTGTTTTAACAAGAAATGCACTATTGCTATGTATATAGTAGATCAAAGATTATTTATTATTAAGAGGATGTAGTTTCAAAAGGAACCCCTCTTTTATCTGCATGCAGTTTGCAACTAATGTATCCTCATCCTTCTGGAATACAAAAGAAAACTTAGTCATATTTCATTAATGAAATAAAAACATGGCTACGGGCCAACTACTTGAGATTTGGCATGGTGGTAAAGAGGGTTCCTGCTAGTCCCTGCTGACTCACAACAACCACCTGAATTAATGTTGCCACCAGTGTGCCAGCAGAAGTGTCTTTCCTCTGATTTTCACATCTTGTTGCTTAAGCTGTGGACTGTAAGATCACACCTCCATTGAGCCACTTTGAGCACAAAACTTGGGTGTATCTTTCCCCAGTGCTTTGTTTTTAGGAGAGACTATGACCAGCAAGCATTCCCAAATGGAGCCAAGACTTCGAGCTGCGATGCTAGCAGCAGGTTTATTAGCTCACCGTGGATCAGAACTCTACCCTTTTTCTTCAGTGTTGCCCTCCACACTGGAAGCTATGCAATGCAGTTGCTTTCATTCATGTTTGACGAAAAAAATTCCCAGAGATCACACAGCTAGGAGGCCAGCACAGTATGGAATCCACAGGGCTCCCCATATCTCACACTCATATGCCAATTCAGAAGCTGGCCTTGGGAACAATTTTTTAATGTGTTTTTTTATTTGAAAGGTAGAATTACAGAGGGAGACAGAGGGTAAGACAGAGAGGGAGATCTTTCATATGCTGGCTCACTCCCTAAAAGGATACAACAGCTAGGGCTGGGTGGGACCAAAGCCTGGAGCTTCTTCTGGGTCTCCCAGGTGGGTGCAGGGGCCCAAACACTGGGGTCAACTTCCGCTGCTTTCCCAAGCACATTAGCAGGGAGTTGGATTGGAAGTGGAACAGCCAGAAATTGAACTGGGGTCCATACAGAATGCCGGTGCTGCTGGCGTTGGCTTAACCTGCTACACCACAGCACCAGCCCCTTGGAAATGGCTTAAACATCTTCATTTGAATTTTGATTTTATATTTGAGAATATTTAGAGCCCAATTGTTCTAGACTTTCCTACAGAACCTACTGAGTTCACATTCTGAAGTCCTCCTGTGTTTATTTCCCACCACAAAGAATAAGCATCGTATCACTAAAAACATAAAAAAAAAAAAAAAACTTTTGATATTGTGCAAATCTTGCACCCTAAAACTAGCTAGATCAGCAAGGAGAAGAGCCACTGTATAGACATAATGAGACAGATTCCTACAGCCTCAGCCCCTACTCCTTCCACATTGCAAAAACCCAGTTCTCCCTTCTTTCAAGGGGAAACTGAGGCAAAGGCATATTTCTAGCTTTTGCATACTCATCTCCATTCCCTCTGTTGCTCATGGTAGCCTGTGTAGTATGGCACACACCATTTCCAAGGAATGAATGGAGGTTGGTGCATGCATGCCCATCTGGCAAACCCTTACTATGATTACAGACGCTAATCACAGCAACTAGCATTCTGTTTTTTGAGTACAACAAGTCTGCACCAACAGATGGTTAAAAATGAATATATGTTATGTTTCCTCATATAATCATCCAACAGTGCTACTGGAATTACTTGTTATTATGAACCCTATTTTACAAATAAATAAAAAGGACACACATTTTTGAAACTTACCCAGTTACATTATTTTTTATTTACTTAATGACAGTTACAAAGAGAAAGAAACAGTGGCTTTCTCTGGATGGTAGTGGGCACAGGAACCAACTTCCTGATGTGTGGAGCTGCAGATGGACAAGAGTGAGTGGGCACATGGGAAATAGGTAAATGCCCACCAGAACAAGCCTCACCTTATTCTTTACCTACGGTCTCCCTCATCTGACAAGCAGGAAACCCAGAGCGATATATTTTTATCTTATTTTGTTTATGCAGATTGTATATTATTCTAATAAATGAGATCTCCGAGTTTTCCTAGGTATTTGATTTTCTAAGCATTACTGCTATGCAGATCTCAGAGGTTTCTCATCAGGAATACATTTTTGCAACCTTACACTTCCCTCCATGATCCAACGTGTATTGAAAAAGCAAAACAGGGGTCCAGAAGGAACCAAAGCAGCTGTTTTCTGGGTCAAATATATTTTCTTAAAGGTAATCTCAAGAACAAAGTCTTCTTTGTAATTCTAAGGGAGACAACCAGACATTAGCTGAGACTTTATATTAATTCAGTATGAGGCCAAATCTCTGTTCATTAACACTATTTACAAATAGAATCTTGTTTATCCCCTGTAGATCAAGTGTTCTCTCAACATCTGAATGACTGACAGGAATTTTCTACAGAAGGACTCTGCACTAGGTATAAGGTTGTCAGAATGCCTGCATCAGAATCATGGGGCTGTACATTTAAAGGGAAAAATCCACCATTTAATAAACTCCTTGGGCCACCTGCATTGATGGTGAAATATTGGTCTAAAATCTGTAGAAGTACAATGTGAGTCCTAGTCAGTTTATATATAAAGGGGCTTTAATAAGTGCTATTAAATAAAGTTCCAAGTTTATAACTGTGAAACAGAGAAGTTTAATTAACCCCTAAATCACGCAGCTTTTAGACTTGAGTGCAAATAATGTATTTCTGGAAGATCTTAAGAGAGTGGCGCCAACCACTAAGCCATGGGCTGTGATGCAAATGATTCTAGGGCAGATGGTCCAGGAAACAAAGAACCCACACAGTCATCCCCCACCTAATGAGGAGTTGTTCCCGCTGGAAGAAGGAGCAGCTGGATTCAAGCCCTTCAGTCAGGCAAGTGTCTGTAATACTATTTCTGTCCAGCTTGTAATATATCAATGATTTCTTTTCATCAAAGTGATTGGCACTATTCTCCCAGGTACATTGAACAGGCATTCATTACTTCATCTACAAAGGGCCGCGTGCCTACTATGTGTCACGTACCAATGATACCTCTCGGTTTTTGGTGCGTCTCTGTTTTCTTGTTCCGTTTGCATTTTCTAGAGGAAGAAAAATTAAGATGCCTTCTGAAGTCTCATAAACTGGTCAGCTTCTTCTGCTCAGGAAGAAATCATTTCAATATCAAAAACAACACAGCTATTTTGTTAGAGGATTACAATTGTGATAGACGGCTGCTATATGGAGTGAAACCAGTGAGGGCAACATCATGATTTTATCCTGAACACTGAAGATAGCCTGCTCCAAATACTTCTTGCTAAGGCTGCATCTTCATGAAGTCTGAAGTGTATTTTCTAAGGCCATCCTTTTAAAACACTGCTTTTACTGTTGCAGAAGGATTTCCATTGCCTGCTGCCTTCAATTTCAAAGGCAAAGGCTCTCAGTGAGGGGGATTCTGAGAAAGGGCAGGAAATGGGAGGGGGACACTGTAGTGCTTGCTTCCTCCCACGTTTGCCTCGTTCTGTGCTCTCAGATAGGTTATTTACCCCTGAACCTCTGTATCTTCATCTAGAGACAAAGGCTTAACATAGATCTAATCTGCAGGGTCTATGTGGAGGCACAGGATTGGACATATAAGGAATGCTAAGCAAATGTCAGCTCATCTCCTCTGGACGTCCACCCTATCCTTGCCTTCCTTCCTCTCCTCTCATTCCCCTCCCTCTCCCTCCTCATTCCTGCCTGTCCTGTCCCTCAGCTCCTCTTCCACAGTCTCTCTCTGCCTCTCTTTTTCTCTATTCTCTCCTCTGTTTCCATCTTCTCTCCCTTCTGCCTTCTACCTGCCTCTCCTTACTCCTCTCAGTGTTGCAGGCTAACTTTTGGAAATGCGACACCCCCACCCCTTCCTGTGGCATTTCTTGGCAGAGGCCACAACCCCACACTCAGGATCCATTGCTGACAGTGCGTTCATCATAGAGTTAACTGGTGCATTAGCACTGTTAGCACTGTTAGCACCACCTTTAAAAAAATGTTCTCTGGCAGTGCCGCGGCTCACTAGGCTAATCCTCCACCTGCAGCAAAGGTATTCCGGGTTCTAGTCCTGGTTGCTCCTCTTCCAGTCCAGCTCTCTGCTGTGGCCTGGGAAGGCAGTGGAGGATGGCCCAAGTGCTTGGGCCCTGCACCCACATAGGAGACCAGGAGGAAGCATCTGGCTCCTGGGTTTGGATTGGCGTAGCTCCAGCTGTAGCGGCCATTTGAGGGGTGAACCAAGGGAAGGAGGGCCTTTCTCTCTGTCTCTCTCTTTCATGGTCTAACTCTGCCTGTCAAAAAAAAAATGTTCTCTGCTCCCAGCTACCCTAACCCCAATCCATGTGAGTTCCAGGTTTATCTGAATTTAATAATTAAAGCTTTATTTTAAACTTTTTACAGTTACAGAAAAATCCAGGAAGCTTAATGACTGCCATGAACGTATTCCAAAAATACATGCCATTTTCCCTAAAAAAAGTATCTTCATGGGAATTTTCTGTTGCTTCAGATATCACACTCATTTGGACGGCATACCCACCACCCAGGCTCAGGCACACCTGAACACTGAACTGAAAGCCTCAAAACTTCCCCCAAAGCAAATGGCCTGGTCCTCTCGTCCAGAGCTGATGCCTTCCAGGCTTCCCCTTGACATCAATCATAGCGAGCGATTGGGTCCCAGCAGAGAGGATACGTGAAATGTCACTCCCTGCAGCTTGCGTCCTGAAAGAACCGGTTCCTTGGGTTGTGTCCCTTAACAGAGCCCTGAATAAAAGAAAAGTGCACAAATGATGTAAGAACAGCCCCGTGAGGCAGAGGCCGCACACCCCCACCTGAGATTAAATAATTAAATAAGCAATGTGTTCCAGAAAAAAAAAATGGGTGAGCAGAAGGTGTTCTAAGGACAAAATTGTGCTTTCTCAGACTGTTTCCTCTTGCCTAGATTTTCGCCCTGGGGAGATAAGAAGCTGGAAGTGGTGTGGAATCTGTAGTTGAAGCTAAGCCTTTTTTTTTTTTTCTGGGTTATTGTTTTTTTCCTTACAGTTAGCTTGACAAAAATAGAGTGTTTATCTGTGATATATTTAATTACAACAAAGAATAAAATGGGAAGAAGTGAGACTTTGAAATGTGTGCCTTTAATTTTTGCAAAAACTCATTATTTTGAATACTCAGAAAGGACAATTTTGGTTTAAGAATTCCCTCCAGGGTAGAGTACGCTGTCTCTTTGGCACTCTAGCTTTCAAGGGTAAATTTATGTTCTTACCAGTGCTGAGATCCCTGAACTCTGGCTGGCAGCTTTATTCTGCAGTATGCTTTATTTGCCCTGGAGGAGTATCATTTCTGAACTCAGCATGTGGATTGGCACAAAATGTTGCCAAGGAAAAGGCTCATACTCAGCTCACTTCTGAGGGACACAGAGCCTTCCAAGAGACTGCAGATCAAGGCTCTGAGCACTGTTGGGGTCCCTTTGCTATGACTGTCAGTGATGACCAGGCACCTACAGGTTGAAACAGTTTCCTGAAAGTTGCCATGGTAACCTGTTGCTCAAAATTAGTCACACAAGCTCCTCCTGCTGTAACACTGTAGCCTATGGAATAAACATCAGATTATTACTTTTGCCTTCTGAGACCCAAAAGGTATGTGAGCCCCCCACCCGCCCTGCCCCGGGATCACTTTGTACATCTTTGGTTAACAGCATGAAAACTGAATCTACAGAAAAGGGATGAAGAGGACAGGGTGTCTGACTTCTGTGTCTCAAGAAGTGTGATCCAGGAAGCAGCAGCAGTTTCATCCAGAAGCTTGTTAAGGATGCAAAATCCTGGACCCCATCCCAGAGCTAATGAATCATAGTTTGCATTTTAATAACATTCCTAAGTAATCCATGTAATGCTACTGTTTTAGAAACACTGGCACTGGCGTAGGTATTGGTTCTTGACTTTACTCATTAGAATCACTTGTATCTGACACCTGATTTCAGCTTCCTACCAATGTCACTCCTGGTAAGCAACAGTGATGTCTGTAGTGGGTGGGTTCCTGCCACCACATGGGATGGCCGGATTGTGTTCCTAGATCCCAGCTCCAGGCTTAGCCCAGTGCCAGTCCTGGCTGTTGTGGTCATTTGGAAAGTAAACCATTTTAAAAAAATTAAAAACAGATTCCTCAAAGATTCTGCTTTAGTTTGTCTGGTTGGGGCCCAAGTATTGGTAATGTTTAAAAACTCCCCAGATGACAATGGTATACCTGCAGAGTTGAAGTAACACTGCTCTCC